ATAATATACAGTAACTATAAGATAATTAAACAAAATAAATATATTAGAAGAAAACTTTTATTTTTAATACTTTATTACACAGTAATATCGTTTTTTGTCAGTTTTTATTATTATTTCTACTAATTCTTAAAAATACAATCTCAGAAAAAATAAATATCAAATATGTCGAATAAAATGAAATATCGAACTAAATTTGATAATTTAATTTTTTCCGATTCATAGATTATTTTTATTTTCTTTTCTTTTTTGTGAGATAAATTTATAAAAATCATCTAAATATTCGACTCGAATTATAAATTATATTATAATTATTTAAACAACATATATTATAGTTACTATTATAATTAGTTTTTCGCAAGTTACTATATTTAGATCAATTTTAATAATATAATATATAATATTATAATAAAAAATATTTAAAATAAATTGTTCGGAAAATTAATTTCGTTTTTTTATACAAATGTCGTTAATTGAATACAGTCAACTTCATTTTAAACCGTGTTGTTATTATATATTTTGATTGAAGTAAATCGATGTCGAGAAATTGCTATGAAATTAAATTTATCGAATTCGATTGTTCATGATTACATGAAACGACTTTGTTTTGTTTCGAAGCTTGATATTCTCAAAGAAAGAGATTTGTTCCGTTGCATTGATATCTGTGATTTGCTGCTCAAACGTGAGGAAAATTTTTAAAGCATTTTTAAAGCGAATCGTAACTGGAGATGAAAATTAAATCGTTTATGATAATATTAAACGAAAACAATCAAGAAGCAATAGAGATGAATCGGCGCAAGGCACTTCATAAGCTAATATTTACCAGAAAAGAATTATGATCTCTGTTTGATGGGAATTGTTTTTTTTTCCTTCTACTTGACAATTGTACGATTAATTCGGAATGTATTTTATTGCAATCAATTAGATAAATTAAAGGATTCCATTACAAAACAAAAAAGATCTGAATTAATTAACAGGAAAGCTGTAGTGTTTCTCGATACCATTAGAATTCATACGAGTTTAATGACTCGAAGTTGTTACAATTTGGAATTGTTACCGCACCTACCATATTCGCTAGATTTGGCATCATCTGATTATCACCTGTTTTGATCTTTATAGAATTCTTAAATGGCAAAAAGTTTACTTCAAATAAGAATATCAAAAATCATTTGGATCAATTTTTTGCAAATAAAAATCAAAAGTTGTGGAATCATGCTAATCATGCTAAAAACATGTATTGAACCACAATGATCAATATATAATTAAATAAAATATATTTTATTAAAAAATGTATTTATTGTTTATAAAAAAACGAAATTACTTTCCAAATAATCCAATAGTATCTATTATATTTATTAAAATGTCGTCAAATGTCTATTTCATAAAAAATGTATTAAAATTATAAATCATGTTGCAATTCGATTGCTAATACAAAATATTTTTACTACTTTTAATACTTAAAATAATTATTTTATGTGTTTTTAAAATAAAAAAAACGCGAAGAAAAATTGCTGATATTTAAATTATTATAATTCTAAATAAATAATTATAAATAATAAATTGTAAATAAAAAATCTTATAACAATCTCCTAAATTCATTTTAAAGAGTTTATTTGCATTTTTTTACATATATTCTTAAGTTTAATTTTTTCGATGATTCTTTTTAATTATAAAAAGGAACGCAAAATAAAAATTACTTTTTTTTTCTCAGATTTTGAAAATTGAAAAATTAAAAATTTTAAATTATATATTTAAATTTTTTATTGGAATTTATTTTTTAATAGTTTTGTTAAGGAACTTTAGAAGGAATCTTATCGTTTTAATGACTTTCAAATATTTGATATTTTTTTTTTCTTTTTATCATTTTATTTTATGTATTTGAAAAGTGAAAAGTAAGCAATAGTTTATTCTATATCATAAAAATTTATGAGCTATAATTACAAAATTAATATATGCTATATATACAATTATTTCTATAAATATCAAAAATAGATAGTTTCAAAAAAAAATTATTCATAATATTTATAGGAACACATATAATAATGATAAGTTTGAGTTTGGAATAATTTTAAAATGTATTCTGTGATTATCAGATTTAAATTTTGAAATTGTCTAGAATCATATTTTTTACTAATGATATCTTTGTAAACTTATATCGAAATGTTTTCAAAATATTATTTATATATATATTTTTAAGATATTATTGAGTTAATAACTTTCAAAATTTACATACTATTAATTCTTTCAGTTTATTAATTAATTATTAGTTTTTTTAATTTTAAATCGAATGTGGCTAATAATTATGACTATCGTGATTGCAATTTTCTGTCATATAATTTCTTTCTGTATATAAAACAATAGTTTTCTTGATTGAAAATAGAATTACTAATAACTAAAAATAACTAATAATACATATAGAAAAATAACATATGAAATGTGAAATATTATTTTTCCACATAAGAAGTAAAGAAATAAATATGTAATTTTAACATAAATTATAAAAATGTATCTTCAATAATAAAGATTTTTAATATCTTTAATAATAATTAAAGGAATTTTTGTAATCTGTGGAATTACTTTTACTCTTTCTTTTTTTCTTTTTTTGGACTCGTTCTCATTCTCTCTCTCTCTCTTTCTCTCTCTTATACATATAAAATTGTCTTTTTTTTAAAATTATCATGATGTACAAAATTCGATTAAATAACTTTCTTGTGATAAATAATAATATAATAATATATATAATGTTAATGCTGGCAACATATAAAATTTAATAGGCAACACTAAATAAAGGTATAAAAAGATACATATAATATATGTTGAAAACATCTTAAATTAAAAAGGTATATAATAAAAAATATAAGATTTCATTTAAAAATTTAAATATCATATAGAACAATTCAAAATTATTCTTATATATAAATAAATATTATAAATAATATATAAGAATATATAAGTTCTTATCATTATATAATATATAATTATTATATATTTATTATAATATATAATTATAATAAATAAAGTGCTTTGATAAATAGACATAATTTAATAATAACTTAATAATTTAATAATTTAATAAATAATATAAAAGAAATAAATAGATAAAATAGACATATAATCACAAAAATATAATAATACAAAACATAAAAAAATGATTCATCTGCACGTTTGTTAAATAACATTTCTTAAATAACTAGCTCTGGTATAGTCTACATTAAATATAGCTTTAAATGATTGAGATCAGTTCTCATTCATTATCATAATTATAATACATTGATGATTAAAAAATACAATAATTAATTTAAAAAAAGGCTTCCTAATTTTCTAAAATTTTCTAAATATTATAAAAGACAAGATTTTGAATTTTTTCCCATATATAATTGTTATTTGTCTTTAGTTTCTTAATTTCATTCTATTTTGGATAATTACTATACTAAAGTATAAGAGTTAATACAAAGAAATATCAAATGAGATTTATTATATTCTAACAATTTATAAATTTGATTTAAATGAAATAAAATGTAGAACTGAAAATACTTTGTTTTTAAAACTACGAAGTTTTCATACTTCGTGATAGTTCCTCATTTCATCTAACATAAATTTGAATTGATTATAACTTAAAACCTTTATTAACATTTATTAATCAACCTTAATTAACATTTTTGTACACCAATTTTTATTTATTTTGATTTCTAGAATTAAAGAGTATTTTATTTTTATAAATATTTTTATTTTTTAAAGATTTTTATATTTCTCATATTTTTTTTTTTATATTATAGTGTTCGAGGAAAATTATTGCAAGATGTGAACAAATAAACAATACCTTGGATTCATTTGGTATTGAAAAAAATTATAGAAAAACTTTTCTTCAAGTTGCACAAAAATTAATTACGTCCAGCACAATAACAATAATTATATTCTCATTTCATTGTTATCGGTATATTAATATATATGAACAAAATTTCTATTTGGGTATTTTTACATATATACCAGTAACGATTATATATTTAGGAATTTTTACTTTCACCATATTTGTAAGGTAAATTAAAAAAAAAAATGCTTATGAATTCAAAATTAATCAAATAGAAAAATAAATATTTGTAGGTAAATTTAAAATCAAGTTATTTTAAAAATATGTAATAATATTTTGATTTTTTTAAATAATTTAATTTATAATATTACAATAATTAAAAACATAATATTATATTATTTTATAATAATATTATATTATAATAATAATAATATTATATTATATTATACTATAATATTATAATATACTAGATTACGTAATTAATAAATTTAAGAAATATCAATTTTCATAAATAACTTCAAATTCATAAGTATTATTTTACTTCAAATTTACTTATATAATAATTATAATTATGAATAATTATAATCATCTATATTTTTACAATTTTTAAATAAAGAAAAAACAAAAATAAAACAAAGAAGAATTGTATAGTTCCATATCTGGTATAAGAAATGAAAGAAAACACGAAACAAAAAATTTTATGTCAAAAATTTGAAGGAAAAACGAATATTTTTTTAAAATTGTATTTTAGAACATCATTATCTTCATCAATTTTTTTCTTTTATTTTTAATTACATATGATCAAGCGATGAATACTAATAATTAAATTATTTAAATTTTTTCTATTTAAAAATTTCTATTTTTTAATTTTTGCAATATGATTAATTTTTGCTTCCTCTTAATTATTAATTGATAAATATAAGATACAATTTATTATTATATAATAGATCTCTAATTTTTTAATGGTGTCAAAATCAAGTTTTAATACTGGCTATGGAAATTATAGAATCTGAAAAAATAAAATAATAAAAACTTTTATAATATGATTTTTTTATTTTTTTTAAATCAATAAATTATTTAGATCTATAAATTATTTTTTTTATACAAAAAAGTTATAATTAGGAAAAACCGAAAAATATAAATAATGTTACAAAATAAATAATATCTATTTGAAACGTAACAGAAGAAAATTTACAAGTAACTCTTCAATCTCAGTTTAATCATGTTCAATTAACGATTTTGGAAACAAAATTTTATTGAAGCAAAGTTAAAATTAAAATGGATTAGTGCATATCTATAATATAAATCTTTAATAAATTTACGATTGTTCAAGCGTTGAATAATAATAAAAATAAATATTATGGTAAAAATAGTAAAATTATAAAAATGATATACATATATCGATGTATATAATGATAATTAAATTATTAATATTATGTTTTTAATTTTTATATTATATTTTATATTATAATATTATAATATATTATAATAATAATATTATTATATATTATTATAATTATTATATATAATTATATTATAATATATTTATAATTTTTATATTATATTAAATATTA